TTCCCAAAGTACAGGTTTCCAATTCTTTGGTGACGACACGTCGCCCCAAAGGCCTGGGACAAGGCCACGGGCACCCCGCCTGGCTTCCCTTGTTCACAGCCTCGTGGCGGGCGCCATCTTGTTTCCCACCCCTGGGAACCACTTGGTCCCCTGTGGGCTCTGCTCTTGTCTCCCTTCCAACTCGGCCCCACCCCAGGCCTCCCACTAGGTTCTGGTCTCTGGCCTGAGGCACGAGCCTTGTCCCCTGGGGGCTGGCGGGGCTGTGGTGACCAACCCAGGTCGTGATTACACAGTAACAGGAGGTTGTTCTTCTACACTTAACCCCACCAGAGAGGCCCACCCATGTTGTTTCAAGCATGGGGTCTAGAAGGGCTACCTCTGAAGGCTGAAGGACATTTGGGCAAGGAATGAGCAGGCTTGGGATGTTTTCCCTGTGGGAAGAGGAGAGAGTACTTTGAGGATTGGCCCAACTCAGCAAACATCAATTAAGCCCCTACCATGTGCCAGGCATTGTGTGAGGGGCTGGGGATCCAAGGGCGAACAAGTGTCTGCCCTCTCAGATCTTACAGGTTGAGGAAAGACAGACAAACAGCTGGGCAGTGATGATACTGAGGGCCAGGTGCCATAATGCAAGGGCAGTTCAAGGTGCTGGGGGAGCCTAGAGGAGGATGTCTCGCCCAGTGATGGCGGCCAGGGAGGCTGTTGGAACCTGGATGAAGTGCACAGACAGGAGAGGGGCTCAGGGTTGAAACTGGGAGGAGTCTGCAGGAAATCTCAGCCCAGGAGGCAGGAGGACAAGGCGTAGAGGCCAAACAAGCACCTTCTTGCTGGTGGCTTTGGCTAGCAGACGGCTACAGCATGGCCAGCCTATAAAGTGGAAAGGCCCTCGGCCCGAGCTGCCCACCACCACTCTCCCTTCCAGCCAGGAAGCACGGGATTCTAGTCCTTAGATGCTCTGCTTCTCACCCACCTCTGGCCACACCTGGGTCTGGGGCTCAGGGCAAGGTCAGAGGGAGTGTGCTTCCCTAGAGCCACCGGAGACACTGCTCCAGAGGCTGATGCCCAGTGTTATCAAGGGAGAAGGAAGAGGTCATCATTGGGAAACAGGTCAGAGGGTCAAGACTATGAAGAGGCCAGGCCAACGTGGGAAAATGAGTCGGGAAGTCAGAAGCCAAGAAATAGGGATGGGTTGGGGCAGGTGTTTCAGGCTAAGGCCATGACTAATGCAAGGTGTGGGAAGACCTGTGTTTTGCCTTGGGAGGCAGCCTGGCTGTAGGACTAGAACCCACAGCTGCCATGGTGACTATTGTCATGGTCTGCTTGGTGTTTCTATGGCCTGGACCCCTGTATTTACCTGTATTTGCCTGACTCCCTGTGACAGGGTCAGCTCTGGGCCTGGAATGGGCTTCTCCCTCCCATACATCAACTTTCAGAGTTTGTCAAGCATGCACTCTGCTCCAGTAACGGAAAGACCCAGAAAAGTTCTGATATCACCCTTGCCTTCAAGGTATTTGCAATCTGCCTGGCAGAGAGAGCTTGTGCTCACTGGAAAGCGCTCTGGGGAAAGACTTAGACTTCATCCTCAGATCTGTTTGTTCCCTGGTAGTTAAATGACTGTGGGCCAGTTACTTAAACTGCCTGTGCCTCCGTGTTCCCATCTTCAAAATGGGAATAATTAAAACCTACCTCACAAGGTTGTGAGAATTCAGTGAGTGGAAGTGTTTAAAGCACCAGGCACATTGCTTGGCACATAATAAACACTAGTTCTCTCCCTGAAACAATAACTAATGATTGTGATGATACACAGTTAAACGTTGAGTTGTGAACAATGACTCTACCAGTGGATCTGCCCAGTACCTGGATCTACTCAGAAAGCCTCAGTGCCAGCTAGGGACTGATCGCCTGGATGGTGATTGTGAGAATTTGTACATGTGTGTATATGTACGTGCCTGTGGGTGTACACACACATGCACGTGCAAATCCCTCCGTCCTTTCGCTCCCCTGCAATTGGCAGAAGCACAAGATTTTTCATTTTCTGTCTCTTGTCCAGGAAGGTGAGGACTCTGCTCTGTAACTGTAGTGTTTTTATATCTCTAATAAGAATCAAAAGTTAACTTAGAAATCATGCCTAACAGCTACCGTTTCCTGGATCCCAGGTGCTTTATCAGTCCTCACCTATGAGGTAAGCACTGTTATTATTCCCACTTTAGATGAAGGAAGCCAGGGCCCTGAGAAGCAAAGAAAGTTCCTTGAAGTTATACAGCTGGTAAGGGCTGGAGTTACAATCCGGGGGAACAGAGCCACCAGCACACCTGCGCTGGACTGGATGTGAGCAAGAGTCAGCCCCTATTTGACCCATGGACATTTTGAAGTCTAATTGGTTTCCCTTAGTCTAGCCTAACTAATTCATCTTACAACCCAAGAAGCCAGGTTTAGATGGATACAGTCTCCAGTTTGGTGACAAAAAGACTGAGGTGCACTTGCAGGAATCACAGACACTGCCCAGGCATTGAGCTCAGTCTGGAGAGAAGAAAGAGAACTGTGACATCCACAGCCATCTGCACCTCCTCTACACCCCCATCCCTCGAGAAGGTAAATGTCAAGGGAACCTCTGCATCACATGCCAAGTGCCTGGAGCACAGTAGGGCTGAAGCAACACATTTGAATGAAAGAACAAATGAGTGGATACAAACACACATGTGCGCAATATATACCGCCTATACACACACAGTTATAAGCAAAGGTGCCCAGTGCATAAGTGCTCAAAACACTCAGTTACAGACAAGCATACACAGATGCTTAAGTACACACACTCATGCACAATGCACACTCATGCCCACATACACAAATCCAAATCCAAAATAGACACATGTAAACACATGCATATGTATACACAGATGTTATGGGCAAGAATATATGGTCCAGATATATACAAACACACATCTACTCACCCCTATACATACACAGTGATGCCCCGATGTCCTCCACCAAGACCCTGGGTCCAGGAACGCATCTGTCAGCTCCATGAGCCCTAGCATGTTGGAGCTCGTCAGGAAGTTCTTTGCAGTCCACACTTAGCTGGCTGGTGACTGGCCCCTGGCTCCTGGACCTCCGAGCTTAGGGCTGGTCAGGCAGGAGGTAGCGTCTCCAGCAGCCCTGTGTGGGTGGGCAGGCAGGCAATGGACACAGAGGTCACTGGGGTGAGAGCCGGGGCTGCCCTGGCCTCTGTTTTCCTGGATGGAATGTGAGCTATAGGGGCCACCTTTCAGGCCTCCCTCCCCTCCCACCGCCACCCACCACCCATCAGCCTCAGGCCCAGCCTAACCCATGACCCTGAATCTTGCCTGGTTCTCATTTTTTTTTAATTGAAGTACAGTCAATTATAATGTGTCAGTTTCTGGTGTACAGCACAGTGTCCCAGTCATGCATATACATACATACATTCATTTTCATATTTTTTTATTAAAGGTTATTACAAGATATTGAACATAGTTCCCTGTGCTATACAGAAGAAACTTTTTTAAAATCTATTTTTATATATAGTAGCTAACATTTGTAAATCTCAAACTCCCACATTTATCCCTTCCCACCCCCTTTCCCCGGTAACCATAAGATTGTTTACTATGTCTGCAAGTCTGTTTCTATTTTGTTCATAGTGTCCTTTTTTTTTTAAGAGTCCACGTATGAGTGATATCATATGGCATTTTTCTTTCTCTTTCTGGCTTACTTCACTTAGAATGATGATCTCTACGTCCATCCATGTTGCTGCAAATGCCTGCCAGTTTGAAAGCTGTGCACGGAGGGTGGTGGTGGTGATGAATGTTTGAGGACCATGGGAGGCACATACAAATGCACAGAGAGAGGGCACAGTCACACACATAAGCCAGTCCAGATATATTCACACACACACACACACACACACACACACACACACACACACACACACACACACAGAGGCAGACATACAAATTTACAATCCTGCTGAAATGCACATTCAGACATACTTTTAAACACAGCAGAGACACAGTGGACACACACACACAAACATACACATAATCACACAAGCATGTAGAGAGACACCAAAAGACCAGGCCCTCACACAAGTGACATTTGCACTTACAGCAGATGCACACTGACACTCAGACCACACAGAGACTAATAGCACACGTGGATCTTCACAACCATACATAAATGCCCACACACATGCACAGACACATGTACACACACAGACCCCAGTCAGCAGACCCCTGCCGCATTGGATTATTTCCTCCTCCTCCTGGGAACAGGAGGAAATGCTGCACTAGGCCACTCTCCAACCCACATGTGGTGAGTTTACAGGCAGGGCCTGGGAAAACTGCTTCCCACAAGAGGAAATAGTACTGAAGCCCCAGCCAGGTGCCCACAGCTGGGCTGCTGGCTGCCTGAGTGCCGGGCCAAGAGGATGGTACATGGGGGTGAAGAGACAGTCACATGGCTTGGGTTTTGTCTCTGTTAATTCCTCACAGATACACACACACACACACACACACACACTTTTCAAGAGTACATATGTATGTACAACATATACAGGCAGGGGCACTCTTGGAACCTCAGTTTCTTTGTCTATAAAATATGGTTACTGATCCTTTCATCACTGAGGATTTTGGGGATGCCATAAGGTGGCACCGTGAAGTGCCAAACCAAATCGCTGCCTTCCTGGGGGCCTGGAGCTACAGTCTCTGCAGAGGCTGCTAACGTCATGAGCCTTGTTCGCAGGAATTGGGTTCCACACTTGGCTGCCCCTACCCAAGGTGGCCAGACTGGAAGAGCTGGAGCGGAGCTGTGGGCCCCTCTCCGCGGGCCGGCACTGGGTGCTGCAAGGGGCAGCCGGGGTCCCGGGCAGCAGGCTCCAGGCGGCCCCGGGGAGGATGCAGGCTGGGGTCCTGCGGCCGTGAGGTCCGCGTCGGGATCGCAGTTCCACGCACTGAGGGCCG